ACATGGGTGATTGTGTCCTACCTTGATTCCTCCACTGTTGTCAGCATCGCAGTATCAGAGTGCCTTCCAGGAGAGCAGTGAACAGTGTGACTTGCATCTGGTACGTGTTTGTTCTCTCATTCCCTCCTCAGGGGACATTATTTTCAGTTGAGTGATATGTTAGGTATTGTTTTTAAACATGTGCATGTAGAATGATAAATATTTGTTAGAAAAGGGCCAGGCCAAATAAATTCCTCCTAGACCAGAAGAAAATGAAGTTTGTGAGGATTATTGCCTCATGAGAGTTAATACCATAGTGATTAGGCAGAGCAGAGGAAAGTTGCTACCTACACACATGAGATATAGTGTTACTGACCACAGCTGAGTGGTCACTTCAGGAGGCTGTTGGGTAGTGTGGGTGTGTGTCATTGAACTTGAAGATAAGGATTAAATCCCAGAGCCATCAAGGAGAGGAGAACTTGGCTGTACTTGCGATGGCCCAGCACTACTGCCAGGAATTGCTGCAGAGGGTTGTGATGCTTCAGTCGTGATGGCAACCGAGAACAATCCACCCGGTCCCCTGCTGTCCTTGGAGCTCTTTAAGACTCCTGCTGCCCACCTTGAGTCCTGGTGTCCCCTGTCGCTTGCCTTGATGCACCATTACTTCCCTGTGGTGTATTGAGCTATTATAGCAAATGGTCAGGAATTCTTGTGTTAAAATCTTTTGACCACACTTTGAGTTCCGCCATTGTCTCAGGTCTTCCATGAATCATTTCCACACTGGGCCATGATAATGCATTGCCAGCAGATACAGGTGGCTTATTTAGAGTAATCCAAATGCTGGAATTAATGAGGTGCAGATATTAAGATCTACTAATCTGGTTTATGCTCCACTTACCTCTATTAGCCTAGTGATCCCCAGAATGGCATTGAGTGACCCTATTTACTAAAGCTGTGTTTAGCTAGTAGGAAGTACTAGGCTTGAGGATTTGAGGGGAATTTAGACTGGTTTCAGATGCCCTTAGTATGATTCATGTTAGAACAAAAAACCACTCCCTTTGCCCCCAGTCCTTCTAATTGGAATTATAGATGAATTACAATTATCCTGTACTTCTTCAATATTCCTTTAAGATGTTGAACTGAGGCTTGATTTTGCTTTCACTGAGTTAAATTCATATCTATGCAAAGAATTTTGTTCCATCAAGAGATTTTGATGGTATATTTCAAATATGTGGAATAAAAAATAAATTACTCCCCCTACCCCTTTTTTTTTTTTTTTTAATTAAAAAAACATATACAATATGTTTAAATGAAAATGTTTACCTCTTACTCAGCATGAGCAGAGGAGCTCCAAAGCACTGCCCTGGCTTGGAGGTAAATTTCACCCATGGATTCTCACAGAAGAGCCAGGTTCCAGACAATTGTGTTCTTAAACTTGTTCCTCCTGAAATGCCATGTCTTGAGGGTGTTCCAGGGTAACAAACATGGGGTATTTATTGCCCTGTGCAGAATTTTTTTTTTGTGTTTCCAAATGTGGAGCTTTGTTCCCAGCAGCTGTTGGCATCTGTCTGCCTTTTGGGGGGTATGAGGAGCCCTCTGCTCCCCTGTGGGACTCCTGGTTGTGCTTAGTGCATCGTATCTCTGCCTTACTGACTGAACCTATCCAGAGACACAGACTGCCTGGGAGAAGTTTTTCTGTCTCCTCTCCATGTTTTCTAGAGAGGAAGCAAGGAGTTATAAGAGGGCACACAGATGCAAGATATGATGATGAGCATTTTATTGCTCTGTGCCCCAGCGTCCCTATCTGTAAAATGGGAGAAAAATCTCCTTCACTGAACTTTGGTGGGGTTCAATTTGTGACTGTTCAAGAGGGCAGAAGCTGCTGTACAAATGGAATTGTTTTTGAGTGTTCAGTTAATTAGTCACTTTAAGAATTATCACTGCTCTGAACTGGGTTTTGCTCCACACTTGTCATTTTTGTCCCTCATTCCTATGGCAAGTTGGTTTTGCCATCAGCAAAAGACTTACAGGCACTTTAAACACTACTTCCTTACACTAGAATTTTTAGGGTAGAAATTGAGGAAATTGTTTCTGACAGAATAAATACTTTGATCTGTTATAAGAATAGTGGGTTGGGGAAGTTAAACATTCACATGTAGTAGAGTTCTTTGTGTCTTGGGTAGTGTGTTTGGTCATTGTTAGGCTACAAGCCATACTGGGGTGATAATATTTACCAGCTTCTAAATAAACTCATATACAGTTGACCCTCTCTGCAGTACAAATTCTTCTCCAGGAAGTTTGTACTTGGACAGTGTGTCCTTCTGTATCAGGATAAATAATTAAATTCAGCAAGTTTGGGTTTAAAAATATAATCAAAATGAAGAAGGTGAGCTCTTTCTTATGTAGCCTTCTTGCCTTCCCTTATTCACCATCTGGTAGCTGCTGTTGTACCAAGCATCCCTCTGGTTCTTTGTACCATTCTGCCTCTGGTCCAAAGAGTTGCTCTTGGTTCCCAGGAGGGCTCTGGGCTCTGAAGCACTATTTGAAACTGCTGTGCCAGTAGAGTTGTACGTGGCATTGCTAAAAGGAAGCCTCCAGTGCTTCCTTTTAAGGGAATTAAAGGTCACAGGGAGCTCTTGGGAAGGGACAAGTAGGATGAAGGGATGGTCCTTGCTGGGTTCTGTGGAACATCGGACACCCAACTTTAAAGTGACTTTGGCTTCTGGGTGGTTTGCTCTAAAACATGATCTGTTCCTATTGGATACAAAGTGGATAAGTCATGGCTACACGCAGGAATCTGGCTGAGGCTGTTTCTTGTAAGGCTGAGTGGTTTCAGGGCACAGGGAAAAGTGCTACTCCCTTTCTTTTGCTCTATGAATTTCATGCATTTTCAGGGACACCTCTGTTCTTTACCCAGCTTTCCCAGCAATTGGAAATGGGATAGAGGGGAAACTGAAAGCAGGATCTTAACCTCAAATGCCCTGTCAGTACGATACGTTTTGATAAAAGCTTTTATAGATGTTATGAGCAAAAATCTATCTTTCTTCAGACTATTGACTTTCTTATAAAGAGCAATGAAGAGCAGTGTCCTTCAGAAATCTCAGAGGCAGTTTAAACACCACCCCCTGGGAAGGTCTTGTTCTCATCTAAGCATGATGATTTTCTGATTAATTTCAATTTATCTCTATTCAGCTTCGTTGCTGTTAGGGTTACTACTCAGAATAGAACTTTTTCCACAGGTGAGTCTCTACCTGCTGAACTGGCAAGAGGCAGACTTATGAGAGATTTTTAAAAATTATCACTCTATTTAAAATTCCACTTTAAAAATTAATATTGGTTAACTTCAAGATTATATTTCTACATTAAGTGGTTTTTAGGCAAGGAGTTTCTTTTCTGCTTATGCTTTTCCCCTTCCTTCTGTATTATCCTATGCAAGCACCCTTTGAAATTCAGTGTGGCTGGATAATATGCAGTCATTAACTCTACTTTCAGGTTCATGGATATCTTTAGTGCTGAGGTCGTGGTAGCCTCTCTGTAAGGGATCTAAAAGGAATTCCTGACAGTTTAATGTGATTAATTTTATTCTGTTCAATATTTATTTAAAGGATTGTTTCACCGTTTTCTGGTATTTTCTTTATAGAGATACTTTATTTTCCTTTGTCCTTTGCAGTTTATGATTTGCTGTATTAGAAAACGTAATGTTTTACAGAGAGGCTGGTTTGGTTAGTTTCTAAATGTTTCTCTGCTTCTATTGACACTGAAGGGGTCAAAAAAAGATTCAGCCTGTTAGGAGAAGAGAGATTTCCTTGCACAGCAGAAGTGGCATCTTGAGTGAATTCTGGGGTCCCCTGTGAGTCTTCCTTGATCCCAGGGCACAGTGGCTTTCATAGCCCTGTTACTCTCCTGACAGTTTGCTACCTCAGTTGTTGCTCAGCTTGCCTCGTTAGTGACATCATATCTGGTTGCTGGTGATCTGAGTATGAAGTCAAGGGAAAAGAATATGTCTTGAGTAAGTTGTATGATCTGGTTAAGTTGTCCCCAGGCAGCAAAGCTCTTATTTTCCCACCTGGTAAAAAGGAGGAGGATGGAAGACAGAAGAAGTAGTGACAGCTCTAAAGCTGAGTGGTTTTCCAAAGGATTCCATGAGAGATCAGCTACTTTGTGTAAAGAAAGCAGAAGCTAAGAACAATTTTGCTGTAAAACTGACTTAGTTCTGAGCACTACCATGAAAAATTTTGATGTACTGTGATAAAAATTGTCATGCTTATTTCTCAGCATGCTTGGCTAGCAATGCAATGCTCTCTGTCCGGTCTTTGTTGGCTTGGGGTTTTTTGTGTCATCCTTCCCTTGTTAGTAAATGACCTACAACATCCATAAAACTTTTCTGAAACAAATCGGGGATTAGCCTAGCTCAGGGAGCATCTGCCTCAGCAGTGACATGCACTGTGCAGGGAGAAGATGCTAGCAGCTGTCTTTCTGATGCATTGGTTGCCCAGGGAAATGGTTTGGTCACCATCTTTGGAGGTATTTAAAAGGCATATAGGTGTGGCACTTGGCATGGTTGGACTTGATGATCTTAAAGGCCTTTTCCAAACTAAATGATTCTATGATTCGTGTCCTGGACTTGGTTTAAAACTCTGACTAAGCTTGATATATGGGTCCAGCCCCCTGTTTCTATTGCAAATTCTTGGATGCTTAATCAGGACTAAACCTGCACTGTATTTTCTCTTCAATTAGAGTATTTAAAAAGTCTCTCTTCGCCCTGGCCTCCAGTCCTAGTGGGACAAGTCAGATTTGGGTATCTTTGAGATTCTTCTCCCCTTTTCAAATGTGGTTTATATTAACCAAAAGAGTTTAAGAGGGATTACTAATCTACATAAGGTCAGCCACTGTCTTCACTAGGAAGCCAGGCTGAAAATATATGAAAATGCTGGTTTACTTGTTTAGCTGAGAACTTGGCTTGTACCTGTGAATCTGTTGTGTGGTTATTTAAATGAAAATGTCCTGCTCTTGTTTTTTAGGCCATCCATACTTCTACTCTTATTGATGCTGTTGGCCTGACTTCCTTGTGTGCTTCTCTTCACTCTACCAAGGTATAAAATTTGACTTCTCTACTGTCTTCGATTACAGCCTTTTCCCATTCATGGGATGCTCCCTCCAGTCTTGTCTGGTAAGTCTCCTTCCTTTCAGATTCAAATTATTCTTAAAAAGTCATAATACCTATGAATGTAGAGAGGTAGATCCCAGTGAAATCTACTTTGGAAATAGTAAAATGAAATTGTTTTTTCTCCGTAAAAGAATTTTTATCTTCTAGCATGTAAAGCTGAGGTGCCTAAGTTCAGTGCATTAAAAGTGTGGACTAAAGCTCTAGAGAGCTTGATTAAAATCCAGTGACATTACTTAATTTGCATGAAAGATCAAAGCAAACGTGTATTGCTTGCAAATCACCTTGTTCCTCTGATATCCTGGCAAAGCAACACTGAGGGCTGCCCTGGTGCAGTATCTGGAGGACTCCTTGGATGGTCAGGGCTGAATGAGATGATGGTTCCTTCACTCCCTTTTTCACAAGGGCCACCTCAGATGTTCACCCATCAAAGAGCATATAGGCTTTTGACTGGAGACAATTTCTTCCTAGTGTTGGATGTACCTGTACTGACTTGGTAAGTAAGGAGAACGTTATGTGCGTGTTATCTGAGGTCAGTGTTTAGTTTCAGCACATTTCCTGTATGTATGATACTCAAAGTTATAGAGAGCTACTAATGTGAATTGTCTGGGCAGCTGCTATTGAGCTCATATAACTATCATAACTTCACATAAATTTCTATCAAATATGACAAATTGACAGCATTAAGAAACATTCTGGGCCACCTCTCAGAAGGTCCAGCAGCTTCTCTTGGTTCAGGGGGTATCTGAGAAGCTGCTGGTTTTGCCCTGCTCATTTCTGAAGATGAGAGTTTTGTTTAAAAATTCTCAGCAACATCTGGAACTCCCTTACAGTCAGCTGAAGTAGCGAAGTTATTAACCTTGAATGAACAGAGTCTGCTTTTTAAAAAATGAAACAAAAGAACATGTTTTGATACGTTAAAAAATGCATGTCATAAAACTACTGGTTCTGTGCCTACCAAAGTCAAGAACTGTTCAGGCATGGGAAAGAGCAAAGAGAGAGAGAAAAAAAACCCCCAAACAATAAAAACTGTCCAAGCCTAAAGGAAATATTAGGAGAGGAAATGAAAGACAGCCACCTGGGATGCCCATGAAACAACTGGTTTTAAGCCCTTGCTGCTGCTGCGTGTTTCCTTAGTAAGGGGATTTATAGATAAAGGAAAGATTGCATGGATAATGTGATTGTTGGTCACTGTTTATAACCCTCAGCTTGGGGCCAAAGGCTCTCTTTACAGGCAAGAAATGGTGCTTTCTTGAAGATAGCAGGAATTGCCCTTTTTCATGCATATCCTTTGCAGATCTTTTAGTGCTTTAGTGAAGGAGTGCTGGCCTCCAATTTTACACAAAGCTAGCAGCAATGATCACAGACAAACATGCATGAGGAGGTAGTGCAAGGGACTTGGGAACTGCTTAGTCTTTGGAAAAATATTGTAACTGGGAGAAATTTGTAACTGATTGGAAAGACAGAAAGAGTTTGGAAGTGGTAGCACCAGCTTCATACTACTGAGATAGTCTGCAGTACAGTAGGTTTATGAAAACCTTCAGGATTGTAACATTTGTCCTTATGCAGCAGTATAAGGGTTTGGACAGTGGCCAGGATGCCATCTGTGAGTGTCCAACAAAAATCACAAACACTTTGTAGAATAGATATTGCTCTCCCCCCACTCCTCAACAATAGTTCCAGTTAAGTGGGAATGGAGGAATTTTATAAGATTAGCAGGCTACAGGCTACCAGCAGAGAACTAACCTTGTCTGCCTTCAAAGCCAGGGGTATAATCTCTAAATTAAATTTACATGATTTATCACATCTAAGAAGACTGGTGAAACAACCCAAAAAACTAGAAGAGAAGGGAGGCAAGATGATAGCCACTGGACTAGAGGAGTTTTCTCTCATCAGTGGTAAGATGCACAACTCAAACCACTGAAATGAGATTAGTACTGGGCCCCCAAACCAAATTGTTCTGAAACACAGAGGTGTTTAATATATTGCTATCAAAATGCAATACCTCAGGACAGCAACCCATCTGTTATCATGCAGGAATCAGATGGAAAGTGCATTAGAAGTTGGAATTTGTCCCCACTGGGAGAACTGCAGTGAGTCATGGTGATGTATGGGATTTGTGCAAAAAGAAGAGAGAAAAATATTCTCCCTATGATTTATGTGTTGCATAATCACCACCAATTTCCACAGTATTTCTGTTCTATTGGCTTCAAACAACAGCAAATAAAGGTTCTCCTTGGCTCCTCTGCAGTCTGATTACACTGGGGTTTTAGTGACGGAGGAGCTCTGTTAGGATGGTGGAAACGTGTTTGAAAAGCAAGGAGAAGCTAATACAAAAGACAAAGGCCAACAGAAGCTGACCTAGGAGAAGAAATAGCAGATTTTATGTATTTTATTCACTTGATGACTTAATATATAGAGTTGATACATAGAAGGTTAAGCATCTCATGTATGCTGCTTCTTCACAGAGCAACCTTCATGGCATCCCATAAAAGGCATTGTGCAAATGTAAATCCATAGAGAGCTAACAGTGAATTTGGGCTATGCAAGACCTGGCTGCTTTCAGAACAGTAGGGATCTACAGTCAGGCTTAGTCCATGGGTCACAGAGAGCTAAAGCCATATTTATGTCTGTATAGATAAAATACGAACTATACCCAGGAGAGTTGAATAAAACTAGTTTCCAGTAATGACAAATTTGTAGGATAAGGGAAAACCTGAAAATGCTTTATCCTGTGCTCCCAGCGTGGTGCTGTCTAGTGGCAAAGTAGAGAATTTCTTCTTGCTGACTCTGGACCCTGAAGCATGATGGTGATCTGCTTTTCCTTTCTGCAGCTGCTGAGCCTTTGGTGTTCACAATAAAATTCACCATGTCTTTCCTCCTGTGATCCCCTACACCATCACTTTCCTTTGCTATAGAAGCAGTTTGCCTTCATCCAGCTAGATTTTATTTTGCTGATTCTTAAGTAACATCTACAGCAAAGGGACTAGTTAAAACTTTCTTGTTATCCCTAGGAAATCTGGGTGCCCCGTAAGAAAGAGCTATGAAATGATTTCTCTTGTTAACTGCTGGAATCTTCTTAGGAATCCTATCATATTTCATTTTTATTATCTGTTACTAGAACTACCCAGGTGGCATATTGAAGAACACTTGTCAAAAAATGTAACATTGTTCTTTTATCAGGAATAAATGAAATTTATCTCATAACCCGATCACTCCTTCTGAAATTACTATAGATCCAGACAAAGAGGAATTGAAGATAACATATTTTCTTCATTTATTGCATTAACATTCATCATCTTTTCTTGTATTTTTCCATATTTTTTCAATAAAACCCTCAGGTATTTAAAGGCTAGTAGTAAAGACCATCTTGGTTTGTTTTATTTTTTTTTTTGCTGAGTTTTGCTGGGTAGCTGAAGTTAGCATGTGGCCAGCCTCTCATCCACATAGTCTCTCTTAAAACTTGTTGGTGGGGTGCCGCTCCAAGGAGACACCTCATTAAATTCATGTTGGCAAATGTTTATCACCTTCTCAGGAGCTCTGAAGTGATTAGTGTTGGGATTTTCCTCACCTAACTTTATCTCTCTGAGCACATTTGAGCCAGTTCCTGGATAAATGCTAACAGGCACTTTCACAGGTAACCAGGATTACTTGCCCTCTAATGTGTCTCTCTCTTTCCACTGTTGAGGGAGCCTGGGTAACAAGCCTAAGTTACATACTTCATTTATTGATGCTTAAAATAAGATGAATTCTATCCTCCAATTCCTTCAAAGCTATTTACTTGATTTTTCTTCCCTGACTGCCTCTGGCAAGAGGCTATTTCAGATCAGTTCTCCCCTGCATGAAGAGATTCTCACTCAATTCCTCTGAGGCTTGACCTTTCCTCAGCTTTTTCATTTATGCCACCTGCTTCCCACATTTGACATAGTCCTAAATAGTTTTGTAGCATCTCATGAATTCTCTTTAGAGTTATGTTTTACCTAGATCACCTCTGAGTCTCCTCTCTTCCAACAAATACAGGTCATGTTTGCCCAGTGCTTCCGTGTGAAGTGCCAAGCTGCTCAATCAGTCTTGTATTGCCTAAACTCCTTCCTCACAGCAATATTTTCAGGGCAAAGCTGTTGCTTGTTCAGAGTGTGAGAGCGAGGGAGAGGAAGGACACAGGAAAATTCTTTTCCCTTGGCTGAGGCACTTCTGCTGGAAGAGCCTTGGTGCAGCTGAATGTCTCCAGAGATGCAAGGAGGTTGATGATTGCTGAAGGCAGTACAGGAGCTCCATGAAGGAGGTTTGTGCCAAGATTTGGAGGTTGGGAAGTTCTGGGAAAATGGAAAGGAGTAATTTCTTTCTGGTGGTTTGTTTTTTGTGTGTTTTGTTGTTTTATTTTTCCCCCAGAATAAACTTTTGGGAACCTCAGGCACACTGGAAAGGAGATTGGAGTGTTGGAGACAAGCTTCCAGGCCACATACAAGTATTTTCATGTTCTTCTTTTCCTATCCAGTTACCCTAAAATTAATTTTCTTATTGTCAGAGTTGTTTCTTTAACTTAGAAATCAGAATACTGTGGAGGGAAAAGCCATAAAAGTAGACCAAAGCTCAGCATTACCTGACTGGCACTGTGATAATATTCACTATAGTTTGTCCAGTTTGGGGCTGGTTTTGCATAATCACTTATCCCACACTGCATATTTGCATAAAGTGGAGCACCTTGATCACAATCTCAGTTTACTGCTTGCTGAAATGTAATCTTGTGCCTTTACATTCTGTCAGGAGCTTTTATCTTAGGTACACACTGAGACTTGAGACAGAAGTGTAAGGAAAGCTGATATGGAAGAGGTAAAGAGGTTTTTTTGGAAGAAAGAGACTGATGAGGAAATTGGGGAGAGGAGAAACTGATTAACATCTTGGGCTTGCTTAGATACATACAGAGAAATTAGTCTTTATTCTGACATGAGGGATGGGTTAGACCCATCCTGGCCCACTCCAGCTTGCCCTTTCACTGTCC